GGGGCAGCCCCATGGCAGCCCCATGGCAGCCCGAGCGTGCGAGGCTGCGTGCCACAGCGCGGCCGGGAGCCGGGTGCGTGACTGTGCGTGCACCGGAGGCCTCGTGGGACACGGGGGAGAGGAGGACGTGGGGATCCCGGCACCGACCACGGGCAGCAGCAGGGTCCCGTCCCCTCCATCCTCTGCCTCCTCCGGCGACAGGGCCACCGCGGCGAAGGCGGGCATGCATCAGTGGGCAAATCAGGCTAAGAGGGGCTTAGACGGAGCTTTTTCGATCGCTGCGCACGTCAGCCTGCCCCTGCGGCCGAGAAAACAAGCCATGAGTCACGTAGGCTGCCGAAAACGCCTGCCGCGGCTTGGTGGGCAGCCCTCCGAGAGCTTTATGGGGTTATTTGAACCCTTTTTAGATGGGCAAACCTGGATGTCCTCGGGATTTTCCCAGTGGCGAGGCAGCGAGAAGCCCAGAGCCATCCCCGGGAGGCAGGACGGGCGGCAGCAGTGCGGTCCCCTGGGACCCCCGTCTCCATCCTCCCCCCCGACAGCTCTGGGGCCGGAGCCGTTACCCTCGGGGAGCTTTTTTGGGGGACAACCCAGGGCATTGTAAGACTTTTTCACCCTTCTCCTTCACACCCCCGGGTTGCACCAGTCCCCTTTCAACCCACACCCCATCTCGCCCCGACACCTTGAGTCCAGAGCAGGGGATGCTCCCCCAGGGGTCCCCCTGACCCCCCAGGATATCCTGGGGGTCACCTCCGGCACGGCCACCCCAACATGGCAAGAGGGGGGCTAAAACTTCTTTCCTTGCCCCCCTCCATGCACGGGGCAGCCCCCAGCCCCATGGGGAGCACCCCCATTGCCCCCAGGACCGCGCTCCCCCCCCCCCCCCCCCCCCCCAAGCCCCGGCTGCCCCCCCCCCCCCCCCCAGCGGGGACACCGGGGGACGCCGTGACACGCACTGGCCCCTCTTTGAGCCCCGGGGGTGCCAGGGGGACTTTGGGGACAGCCGGGGCACCCAGCCCGCCTGGTTCCTTTCTCACCTTTTAACAGAAGAAAACCAATGTATTTCTAATACTTGACGACCTGTACATACTGTTAGATACCAGAGAGGATATTTATTATAAATGACGCTATCATCATATCTATAGAAATCTATAAATATCTATCGGAAAGGAGTCCTGGGGGAAACTTGTTGACGACTCTGGGGAAATTCTTTTTGCTCTCTGCATCTTTCTCATCCTAGGGCACCCGCAGGGAACCACCCTCCCCCCGGCAAGGTTTCTCTGGTTCTCATGCCAAAGTATATTTGTACCACTGAGTTACTTTCCTTAGAGAGAGAAATAAAGGCTGGTTCAAACCTCGGCACCGCTTCGGCTCCTTCCCTCGGACGCTGGGTGAGGATGAGGGGCTGGGAGCGGAGGGTCCCGGTCCCCTGGGACCTCCCCACGTCACGGCTCCGTGCCCCATCGCCTTTGCTCTGCAGGGTCCGGGAAGTGTGAGAATTTTCTCGGGATAAGCCTCTACCCCTCCCCTGACTTTAGAGGAGAGAGGAGAGGAGAGGAGAGGAGGAGAGGAGAGGAGAGGAGAGGAGAGGAGAGAGGAGAGGAGAGGAGAGGAGAGGAGAGGAGAGGAGAGGAGAGGAGAGGGTCAGCTTTGAGCTCTGCCAGGGCTGCAGCATCCTTTGGTGGGCTCAGCGGGAGAAGGGTCTCGGGCTGCTGGGTAGGGCAGAGCCCCTCGGGGCTCCCCAGCCTTTTCCATCCCACCCACTGATGCAAGGCTGGAGGGGACCCTGCAGCAGCTTTTCCCATGGGAGCCCCCCAAAGCCCAGCAGAGCTGTATCCCTCCTGCTCTTGCCCGTAGCAGCATCTCTGCAGCCTTGGCTCAGGCTGGAGACCTCCCTCTGCTCCATGCAACAGCCAAGAAGCGTCCGACGATTGCGAGCAGTTGTGATCTGCTGTGTGACCCGGGGGGGACAGGGCTGAGACCCCCTGTCTTGGGCTGCGTGGGGAAACTGAGGCACAGACAGGAGGCACACAAAGGGGAGAGCCAGGTGTACCTCGAACGGTGGTGGGCATCTGGCTCCAAACCTCCAAGGGGATTTGGGCATCGCTGACGGCCAGGATGCACTGGGATGGACGGGGACATGCCACCTCCCTGGCTGGGGCCACCAGCAGAGCTCTGGGCTGCTCTCCTGCCTTTAAGTGGATAAAACCTGCTCCCTCCAAACCCAGGCAAGAGCCGCCAGCTAATCTAATAACGCTAAGCCTGCAAAGAGCAGATCTGTCTTGGCAGCAGCCGACGGAGAGAGCGGCTCATCCGAGCAGCAGCTTTCACCCTGCCCGAGGGTGCACCCATGGGGATGCAGGAGCATCGGGGGACTGGGTGCTTCTCCGGTGTTGGGTCCCTCTGTGAACCCTTTCCTCCTGCCCCCGGGATGCGGCTGGAGGGGGTGGAGGCGTCCCTCCCGTCCTCCTCTGCCTCCAACGCTTCCCATCGGGAAGACACGATGCTGAGCTAGCTGGAGCTTTGGTCTGATCCAGTATGACCATTCCCAGGGTGCAACTGGTCTTCCAGGCTCCCAGCCCTCTGCACGCAGCCGCCAACCTGCCCGGCGTGTGCACAACCCCCTGGCACTGGGGCAGCTGGGGACAAAGTCACTGATGGGCTGGGGTGGACCTGCTGGGAGGCTGCTGGTGACACAGGCCTGGGAGTGGTGGAGATGCCAGAGGATCCTGCTGCCATCCAGAGGGACCTGGAGAGGATGGAGAAGCGGTCAGAGGGGAACCTCATGACGTTCAATGAGGAGAAGCGCAAAGTCCTGGCCCCGGGGAGGAACAACCCCACGTAGCCATGGCCACCCAACTGGAAAGCACCTCAGCCGAAGAGGACCTGGGGGTGCCGCTGAACACCAGGTTGACCACGGTGTCACGGTCATGGTTGACCAGAAGGCTGAGGGTATCCTGAGCTTCATTAGGCAAAGCATTGCCAGCAGGTCGAGGGAAGGGGATCCTTCCCCTCTACTCAGCCCTGGTGAGGCCACACCTGGGTCCAGTGCTGGGCTCCATAGTCCACGAGAGACATGGATATACTGGAGAGAGTCCAGCAAAGGGCCGTGAAGGTGGTGGACTGGAGCATCTCTCCTAGGAGGAAAGGCTGAGGGAGTTGGGGAGCAGAGAAGGCGGGGGGGGGGGGGGGGGGGTCTCACCATGGCCATAAATACCTGATGGGGGAAGAGGATGGGAGCCAGGCTCTCCCAGTGGTGCCCAGTCACAGGACAAAAGGCTCGGCCACCTCCAGCGGGTCCTCCAGCCCCACCATCCGCTTCGGGAAAACGGGGCATCCCCAGGGGAGCAACGGGGACCCGCAGGGACTGGTCCTTTCTGGCCAAGCCAGGGCTGTGCAGGCAGGTCCCTGTTGCAGGCAGAGGATGGGGCGGGAGCTGGGACACCCCCATGGCAGGGGGCTGAGAGGTGTCCCCTACGGAGGAGCCCCCGGTGTCAGCCCCAGGGTGTTTAGGAGCACCCAAGCCATCCGCCCCCGCTGCCTCATCCCCCATCTGGGTGATTTTTTTCCCCTCTCAAAGCATTTAAATTTTCCTTGTCAGCCGTAGCCCAAATATTTACAGTCCGCTGGAGCAACTTCAAATTCCTCCCTGGTATTAAGCAGCGCGGCCGTGAGCGAGCGGCCGCGGGGGAAGCTCAGCCCCCGGGGCAGATGGGACTTATCCTGCCCCCTCCTCCAAGCCGTGAGGAGCAGGAGGAGAAGAGGCAGGGAGCGAAGGCTGCTAGCCCAGCCAAAAAGGGGCCAGGTAGGGGATGGGGAAACAGGTAGTGAGTGGGGAAAATGGGGGTTTTAATGGGGGAAAAAAGAAAAAGAAATAAAAACTCACGCTGCTGTGGTTTCTAAAGAAGTTTTCAGTAAATAGGGCTTTCATTTTAAAAAAATCCTTATTAAATATTTCTGTTTTCCCTTCCCAGCTTGTTAAACCCAGTGAAAAGCTCCGGCAGACACTGCTGGGGGCGGGGGGGAAACCTTATTTTTATTACCCCCACCTTTTCCCCACTCCAACCCACACGTGGCCCCAACACCTCTATTGCCCTGCAGCGGGATCCTTTGGATGCTGAGGGCATCCCGAGGCAGCTGGGGGACTCAGGACCCCGGGGACAGGGACATGTCGGGGGCCACCGCTCCCTGCCCCCAACCTGCCCCCTCAGTGATCCGAATCCGGGGGGAGGCGTGGGAGAGGTGCTAGGGACGAGCAATGTGCCTGGCTGGATGCGGCCGCGGGATGGGGAGTGCCAGCGGCACCGGCTTGGGGACCCTGAGCTGGTGATGGGGACACTGGGGTGACCCAGGGGGGTGGAGGGAACCCGCTGCAGCCGGTGGCATCTCCATGGGCAGCATCGCGTCATCTTCTGTGGCATGACATCACGCCGGGGTGATGGGGTGATGTCACTCCCTTCCTGACCTCGCCGGAGCAGCACCGGGGCTGCCTCCCTGACCCCTGCCCGCAGCCCAAAAATAGGGGTGCCCCGAGGAAGAACCACCCCATCCCTCGGCCGGCATCGGGGCTGGGTGCGGGTTTCCCCAGCGTCCGGGCAGCTGCTTTCGAGACGGTGACGAAGACAAGGCGGAGGCAGGCAGCGGTGTCCCTGCCCACCTCTGCCCACGGCCCCGGGGCCTGTTGGAAGGTGGGGGAAACCAAACCCCCCACCCCCGGGAAAGGGCGAACGGGGAGGGATGGGAACGCTCCAGCTGGTGGCCCCAAACGAGGGGAAACGGGAGCGGAGCCCGAGAGATGGAAGAATTAAGCGCTCTGTTAATGAGGGGACAGGCGTGCACGGACCTGCAGGGATGCACGTGTGTGGGTAGGAGATGCCACCGTCCCCACCCTGCCAGCCCATCCCCGCTCCTCCTGTTCTCTGCCTGCAGAGCGTCCTGGGGTGATGGGTGTCCCTAATGTCCCGTCTCCTCCCCCCTGGGGACCCCAGACAGCCCCACACGGGTGTCTGTGTGGGGCTGGCACCGGGCGGGCACGCGTGTGTATGTTGTGCATCGTGCAGGGGACTTTGGAAGTCAGAGGCTCTGCCACCGCTCGCCCGTGTGTCCTTGGGACACTCCCCCATCCCAGGGCTGGAGGAGGGGACCAGCACAGGGGGCCACAGGGGACCATCCCCAGCTGCCCCATCCTCCCTGTCCAGCCCAGCTGGCCCAGCCCGTAGCGTCCCCACGGGCGACACC